GAGCTAGATAGAGCTGGATTTCGCGTTCCAACAAGCATCGAAATCGCTCTGGAAGCCTTCCTTGCAGAAAGATAGGGTCTGTCAAATTTCGTCGAGTAAATGTCGAGGAGGCCCCAAATTTTCACTCGAGTTTTTGTCACTTCAAGAGCAATATATCTTCTTATATTGTAAGATCCTGAAAAAGGGAAGATAGTTTTGGAAAGCGGAAAGGTTTGCGCTTCCTGATGGTCTGTTTATTTACTTCTACAGCTTTTGGTTGAAGAGGATAATTGCGTTCGAGGATCTATCGAGGTTGACTCGTTGGCAACACTCGAATGCTGTCTAGAAACATATCTTTGAACGCAAACAATAAGAATAGGAGCAATTCGTCACCATTCCGATTTGGTATTGGTATAAGCCATGCATCCCTTCTCCACTCACAGTTTGCAGAATCGATTGAAAGGGTTATATGATGGGGACTTCGAACGAAACTGTATTGTAGTAGACATAGTGTGTTGTGCTATTCCTGTAACCCCAAAAACAACTTCATTGCCCAGCGTTTTTCTTCACGGTTGTCGTTTTTTTCGACAGGGTCCCTAACAACAGCGTCATTCTCAGCGAGGTATTAAGGGAGAAGGAGCGAGTGGATAGGCGGAGGAGGTGCCTTGCACGGCGTGCGCACATGTGGCACTCTTCTTTGCGGGGATGCACTTTCGTTCCTTGTATCGCCCTCAAAAACGACCTTCTCATGAAGGTGGAGGAATGGAGCGACTGAACCTGCAAAGAAAATTTAATATGATGTTGTTTTAGATGTTTTCATTTTCTGCTGCGCTATATCCTATTACCTATCTGCACCATGATACCACTTCTGTTACTGACCCCCAAGAGTACGACACATGGACCAGCCCAACAGGTACGACCCCCCTGTCGAGGATTTCCTCGACCGATATTCACCCTGCTACTGGCGTAGAAACGCGTACAAGTTCGAACCAGTATCGATACGCGACGCGTACGCACGCGTGCCCGGAGCCGCGAACTGACGCCATTCGAAGCCGCCTTCGTTGATTCGCTATAATCTGCGTACTCCCTGGGCTGTATTATGACTGTTTAATCCTTTGCATGGGCAAACACCCCCCCTCCCATATTCGGACAACATAGCGTATGGTGGCGCATCTACTGGACACGAGGTGTTGCAAGGTCAGGTCTCATTTGTCTCTCTTGTAATTTGCGTATTTTTGAATGCAGCCGTAGGCTGTCATTGGTTGCTCCCCCTTTTTTTTACCTCCACGCTTGTAGCGTTCCCTTTTGTTACGTAATAATGCTATTTGTTTTTAAAATGCTTTCCATCGCCCGCTGCGACCACATCCGTTATGCAGCTGTTTTTTTTTGTATGTGCTGCTCATGTTCACTCGCATATCATGTCTACAGCGTTACTTTCAATTTACCTGACCATGTCACACCTCGCGTAACGTTTTTTTTATTTCCTTCACACGGCAAATTTCAACAGACAAGTGATGTTCTTTGTTTGATTCCTTTTCTCCGTGTCTGCCGTTGGGCCAATGCGCGTTTCCTTATATTATATACATTGTACCAACGTCAGATACAAAGCGCAAATTGTCAGAGCTCTTGTTTTTTAGAAGAACTCACATATCCATGACCATTTTTCCAACGTTAAACATTCGATTACACGAGGTCGTGCAGTACAAGTATTATAAGTTCTTCGCAGTACAGTCATATTAGAATTTCAGTTTCTTCCGAACTAGTTTTTCATCGCCTTGCGCAATGTTCGCGTATGTTTGATAACGATACCTTGCGATATTCCTTTTAAACGTAGGTTACCCCCAGCTTACCGCTACTATTTTCAGGTAATTGGTTTTCTGAGATAACCCGTCTCACTATGGCTTTCAATATGGGTGCAAAGAAGTCGTCGCGGCCCAGCAATACTGCTCATGTGTCACCATTGGATTCCGCGCAGTCTGCCAAAGATATCAAGTTGAAAGAGCTACTTCACGAGGCTATTCGTGTCGTGGATGCGCATGATGAGCAAAATATGAGCGCAGACAACAAATTGTCATCTAGTTCGTGAACATTCGTATAGCGACGCGTACAGCGACTCAGCCATCTCTCCTATGAACTACTGCAATGAATCCCACCATGACTGCGGTGCGCACTTAGATAAGGGACACGGACTTCGAGCGAACAGGCGCTACGGCGCAGGTTCGTGCGAAGTCAGCCCACCGCGCAGCGATTACGTTTTGCATAAACGCTGTCACCGACACGAAGTCCATTGCTGCATGTGTCGCCCGCGCAGTCGCGAGAGTTCACTCCGTTCCGTCCGCGCAAGCCCAGTGCGTTATCAGCGCTCGCCGTTGCTAATCCCTCCTCGCACATAGCGCCTTCTGTTCAGCGCAGTGACTCAGTTAACAAACGAGCAATCTCGCCATCAGCCTTTTGTCCAAATGTGGGGTCGCTAAAAAGACCAGTCAGAAGTAACGCATACACGCCAGATGGAGCGCTTAAAGAAGAGTATAAAACTGGTCCAGACCATCCAGCGGCATCGCGGTCTCGTTGTTTCTTTTGTTACCAACATCATTACTCTGCTCAATGCAGATGCTTTCCCTTTTTTAAGCGACCGTCTATGGATACATGCTCATAACGGAAGGTGCTTCCGATGTGGAGGGCCACACATTGATGACCATTGCGCAGTAGACGCTAGTCGCATCACTTGTAAGTGTTGTAAGCAAAATGATCACCACACCGCCTTTTGTTGGAGAAACCAAGATGCGCATTCTGACATTTCGCTAAGAAAGTTTCATGCACATATGCGCAGGGCACGCAAGGTAGCGCGCGCGGTCAGAATCTCCGCAGCAGGGGACGAACGTTTTCAATATGAAAGGCGACAAAGACAATTCGAAGAGCAGCTCTCGAAAAGAGGTACGTCGAAGATGGTTGAGGGGGAGGAGCAGCATTAGCTGCTCCCTCCGTCAACAATGAAGATAGTTGAGGGGGAGGAGCAGCATTAGCTGCTCCCTCCGTCAACATTGAGGGAGGTTGAGGGGGAGGGGAAGCTCTTAGCTGCCCCCTTCGTCAACGATTTCTTTTTTTTATTTCTGCGTAGAGAGTCAATCACAGTATACAGTTATTCAGCGTAGTAACTGAAATTCACATAGCAATCTTGCGTAGGCAGGGTTTATACATCCGCGTAGTCCATGACAGTCATTCCTGCGTAGGCAGGGCTCACACCCCCCGTCGTACATGTGGTTTCTTTCTGCGTAGGCAGTATCAATGCTCCCTTAGTACATGTGGTTTCTTTCTGCGTAGGCAGGACTACGTATTCCACGTAGTATTTTTCTTAGTGTCTTCGTTTACGCTTAGGCAGTGAACGGACCGTAGGTCCGAAATGTCATTTACTAATACCTTTACTTGCAGCGTACGGCGTAGTACGACACACGACTTGATGTTCGCGTAGGCGAAGAAACTGTGTCGACAGTTCACCGTACGGTGAAGATTATTGTTGTTCAGCATAATCCCTGGGGAGCGGTGGGAGACCGCCATTTCTTTCGTTGACCCTCGGACACTTTCGTTTTTCCCTTAACTCGCCCCTTGGGTTCTTTTGAATTGCGAGGTAAAATCTCCCCCTCGCGTCAAATTTACCCCTCGTGTGTGAGGCAAAACTCGCACGGTAGGCAAAAAAATCCCTGCAGTCGATTCTCGTCATACGCTCGTGTTCGTCAACATTGTCGTACGTCAAGTCCTGCACATCGTCGCCTGTTCGCCGTGCCGATCCGATCTCAGCAACGTGCTCAGGAAAATCCGTCGTCATTTCGTCGTTTTGCCTCATTCTGCCGACATCGCCATGGATTCGTCATTTCATTGTGTATTGTATTCCATCGTCGTAGTCTTTAACTCATTGTAACTTAGGGAACGATTTGGCCCGCCGTCTATGACTATGCCCTCGAACCCAGCGTAGGTAGCTTAGGCCCCTTAGGAAGCCGTCGTTTAACTAACGTGTATGTATTTCTAGCTCGTAGACGCAGTAGGTAAGGACGGTTCCGGTTTCCGTAGCGTCCAGGGCCTTTTCGTCTTCGCCGCCCCAGTGTCGTGACGTTCTGTACGACTTCTTAAAGGTCACGCCTGGTAGGGCGCGCGTGGGTCCTGGCGCGCCTGCCACTTCGAAGTTCTGGAACAATGAAGACGCAGAGGACGCCGGGCCGAGTGAGTCAGTCTTGCGTTGCCGTCGTCGTGAGTGGCCGCGTCCCCCCTGCGCCCGTACTTTACGTCGCCGTAGCGGCCCGTCATCGCCGCACTTCCTGGTCCCGGTTCGACATCCAACAAGGACCGCTGGTCTGCCGTAAGCCGACAACTGGATAAGAGTAGCGACAGGTATGGAAACCCGACAGGTACGGACCGGACGCGCGTCTCCCCCGTGAGTTAAGATCTGGGTTCGACCTTTAAGCCGTAGGCGGTGAAGTACACCGTACCTCACATTTTATCAGAATTGTAACGTTATATATATCGTAGTTACATGAGTCTATAATGTCGCAGTTTACTTTTGATATAATAGGATTAGTCCAAGTGTATCTCATCTACATGTAGACGTCCATGTAGATTAAATAGAAGGTTCGTAGGCCGGGCCGTGAGACATTAATACGCCGTAGGGCAATGAGTAAGTTGGATTGGCATGTTGCGTACGAGAAATGTCTAGAATGGTCAGTTAGCGTAAGACGCTAATTGGGGGCAGCAGGGCCCAAAAGGGTAACTGTCCCGCGTGGCATAGTGGCGAGAGGCGGGCGCAGCGACCCCGTTTGTGCCCTCGCGCCGACGCCGACGCCGCCCCTCTGCCGGGTGAACCCCGATGCTTCCGTGGCGCAATGCGAGGGGCTGGGCGTCCGCGCCGGCGCGACATACTCCATCAAATTATTCTTTCCTTTATCAAGGAAATGATTCCAAAAAGTGTTTGACATTTCAGCCTAAATAACAATGATAATTAGAATCTTTACTATTATAGTTAGCTTTTTCACCTTAAAAGCAACTCCTAGTCTATTCGTTCCCGCAGGCTTCGCCCAACTTAGTGGGTTTAGATCATTTATCACATCGTATCTAAAGTACGTTATTAATTACTAGTTTCATACTATTACTGTTAATAGCCATATCACTTACTTAACTATCTTCTCCAGAAACATTTTTACCAGTTCACGCATTGACATCTTACAAGGGTTTGGAATATTCACCACTCTCACGGTTTTTGATAAAACATGTCGATTTATCATTTCCTGTTGAGTTTTATGACGTACAACCTGATCCACATTTTCGTAATCGAAACCAGCTCTCTTAACATTGGTTAAGATTAGAACAACTACCACTCAAAACACAACTTCTTTAATACATAACCTTTAATACACATATAGCAACCTTAATTCAAAACTCACCTTGCAATTAATTGAACAAATCTAATCAATAGTACAACTTACCTTAACAGAAGCGCTGTCCTCCATTCTTCAAAAAATCGGCACAAAGAAATACAAACAATGATATACTTATGTATATGTAAACACGAATATCTGTAATACTCTATTATTCTACACACAGTTGTAGTCATATACATTAATAATATAAAATCACAATTACTCAATATAACAATAAAATTTATAACTTCTAACAATAAGTTGCCTAATTACTCACCTTTGCTTATAAGGTCTATGCCGAAGAAGCACACATAATCCATACACTCCGAAAAATGAACACTATATGATTTTTTCAAAAAAGGCAAACGTGTAGCCCCTAAAAATGAGTTTGGTCATTAATAGTTGGCTATAATATTATATTGCTTTAATATCAAGGGCTATAGTAAAAACTTGTATCCTCAAACTAATTCAAACAATATATAAAATTACCTTGATTACTTCCTGACTTCCTGTATAGATAAATACGCCAAGTAATAGAAGACCATCAGCACATAGTCTGGAAAATTTCATATATAGAAACATTTTACACACATCGCATGTGTATATACAACGATTTTTATTGTTACATAACATTATTAATGTTAACGAAAAGGACCTAACGTGCAAACAACTCCACACTTAAACCTTGAAACACGTCATTATATACATTTATATTAATAAAAAAACAAATATTGTAAGATGCACAGTTAGTTTTTGGAAAACTCCACGTCAAATGTACTGTAATTGGTTCCATTACACACAAGCAGGTATACCGTACTACAACTAGTAGTAAATTGCATGATATGTAACGTCAGGATAAAAACCCTCTGTTCACTTACACAATTACTTACTTAGCGCACGAGCAATATATGCAAGCAACTATTTGGGACGGCTCCTAATGGCTTTTTGTTCCTTTACACTATTTTTTTGTGTAGTCTACGACTAGACATGCTATTCACACTATTAGTTTACATTATGATTCGTAGATGATTAACAGCGCAAGGAAGTGAACTTATTGAACTTTACACATTTATTCAGTTAGACTTTTCAAGTATTTGGTCTCATCATCAGTATTACCTCATATGTCTTTTAAAGTTCATTTTCGACGTTCCTCTAGTTCTTGGTTACTTTACACAAAATTCAAATACCTTAGCCTACGTTTTAAGGAAAATTTTTTTGGCGTCTACACAATTGTTTTTTGTTCCTTCGCACAATTAAGCCATTTATACATTAATAATTTTCTGACTAATCTTCCTCTCTACTTTTAGCTTCAACTACTTTTGTACTACTTCGATCTAAATGGCATATGTTCCCTTTGCGTTCTAACACTATCGCATTACACATAACCATTCATTATATTAGTTTAGTCTTTTTCCAGATATGGGATGTTATCTATAAATACGCTGTGCATTACTATACTTCATATACTACAAGTCTCATTGGAAGATGCATGAAGGTTAGTCACTATATGGTGAGCGCTTCAAATTAAAATGTCTTAAATATCAGTTTTGAATAGGAATATAAAACTTTCACTAAAGTGCTGCTTAGTAAGATAGTTAATGAATTAGTTTGCTAAACTGGATCATAATAAAAGTAAAAATTTAAGAAGGTGCTGATAATGTAGGATTTCGACTCTTATATATGGTTGATTTTCGCTGTAGGACCAACACAAATTGAAGATCACTAGATCTATTTTACATTGTTCTTCTTAACTCTATCTACTTGTATGTCTTGCCGGGTTCATTACTCATTACTTCCGTGTTATATGTACTACTTAATAACCAATTCTTCAACCTTCGTTACTTTTAGGCCCCTTCGGACTCTCCCTTTTTTCTTTCCCTTTCCTTTTCTCCCCCTTTTTCCTTTCTTTTTTCTTTCTTAACTTTTACAATACCTTGTAAATACATCTTACACATATTAAGGAGGGCCATACCTCCTATAAGCAATAGGGATTGGCGCTGACGGGGTTATGCAAGTCAAACGTGGCAGGAGGGGTCAACTTCTGGCGCCCCCAGCGCTAGTCGTTCCTAATGGGAACAAACAGGGTATGCCAAACCCTGGGCTGCAGCCCAGCCAAACCTTCGGGGGACTCCTCTCTGCGTATGGGTTGGACCACTCATGCGCTTAGATCATAGGTCAAAAAACAACAAAAAAGCAAGCAACCAGGGTTACTAACCAAAACAACATTTTGTAAGGTAAGGGGGAGTCCAATTCCTATAAGCTACAAGATTTCGGATATAATAACGAGGGCCGTACTTGTGGAAGTACTTGTAGGGTTTGTACAATTACAAATGGAAATAGCCTCATTATTTCAAACGTTACGGAAATTCATATTAATACCTATAAGGATCCTAATACAATGTTGCTGTACTAAGAATGTTGTTCATTGTCTTACATGTAATAATTGTGGGTTACAATACGTTGGTATTACTACTAGGAAACTAAAAGACCGAATCAATGAACATTTGCGTAATATTTTTAATCATACAATTCGTGCTCCATTGTATGATCACTTTTACACTTGTAATGAAGGAATCAACGTTACAGTACTTGATTCTATACATACCAATGACAAAACAATTTTAACGGAAAAGGAATTATTTTGGATAAGGTTATTAAACATTGCATGCATTCCTTTTTGGACTTAACGACAATATAAAAGGCTTTGGAAATATCTTAATCATGAATACAACTAATATTATTAAAAATTACCCACCTGTGGCGAGGTTTCAGCCGCTACTGTTGTGCCAGAAGACGAGGTAGAACAACTAACTTTATTCTTACTACAGAGGGTTTTTATACGACCCTCAAAACAATAATAAGAAGATCACTATTATCACTTTCATCGGTGGTTCATTTTTCTTGCCTTTCATAACAACCTTCGGTTGACAATAGAGAATGATTCTCTATACTCCGCGGCGAGCCGACGTTGTGAGGTCCTACCATTTGTTGATTGAACTGATGCGGAGTTCCTGAACTTCCGTACCGACTTGTCGAAACTCGAGACGTGTGGTGGCTGGTATGATCCTGATTCGTTGTGCTGTTTTGCAAGTCGTCTAGTCGAAGTTCGTCCTGCTGGTGACTAAGTCGTGGTCTCAAGTTATAATGATTACGTTGCGATTGCAATACCTCCCCCCTCCTGTTGGTTTCCTGTGTCGTCGATTCTTGTGTTTCTTCATCTTGAAGCTCGAGCGGGATGAGAAGGTTAATTGGTCGCCGGATGATACGCCCACTCGGTAACTTGACTTGCGCTTCACGAATGGTTCCGTTCACTGATGAGAGAAGATCTTGTATTCGTCCTACTTTCCAAGTGTTTCGCGGTAGTATTGGGTCGTGAACAAGTACCACAGTGTTTCGAGTAGGGATTTTTCGAGTTCCGCTCCTGTTGTTTATCAATAGCTTGTGTTTTTCTCGAAGGCTGGTAAGGTATTGGGATCTCCATATTGACCAGAATTTTTCTGTCATTTGGTGGCTTTTCTTTAACGCTTGTTCTGCTTGCTGACGAGTTCTCAGTTGTGCCATTTCGTTGGATGGAAGATATTCTTCGTCATCGTGCTCTGTTCCACAAGTTTCAAATGGGTAAGTGACGATTATGTCGCGTTGTATGAAGTCGATCGGTCTCAGAATTGGAGTTTCTTCCCAATTTTCTTCTTGGTAGGTAAGCGGTCTTGAGTTCAGAGTTCCTTCTATCTCAGTAAGAACGGTTTCCAGATCTGTCTTCGTCAAAACTGTTTTCCGTGTTACTTTGTAAAGTGTGTATTTGACGGATTTTATTAAACGCTCGTAAAATGCTCCTTGCCATGGAGCAAATGGTGTGATTGTTCTCCACTCCACTCCTTTTGAGGCTACTAAGTTGACGAATGAGGGATCCTGCGTGATTGAGCGTACAGCATCAGACAGGACCTGTTCTGCTAAGAGAAAGTTAGGTGCGTTGTCTGAGGTTATCGTTGCAGGGATTCCTCTTCTTGCGAAGAATCGACGTAGTGCGTTGAGAAGATTAGTCGTTGTCATATCGGGAACAAGTTCCAAGTGAAGAAGCCGTGTCGTTGTGCATGTTATGATTATTCCATATACTTGTGTCACTTCTTCCTTTTCCTTGGCGGATATTGGGCCAAAGTAGTCGATCCCCACATGTTCAAATGGTCGTGCTCTTTGTACACGTCGTTTAGGAAGATCCTCCATTTCAGGGTATTTGTACGGAAGATTGTTCATTTTTTGACATGGAATGCATTTCCTGATAACAATTTGAACTAATTGGCGAAGTTTCGGTATCCAATAATTGTTCCTTACGTTGGCTATTGTATGAGCTGTAGTACAGTGGAGGGGAGAGTGAGCTTCCTGTACGATTATCTTGGCCAGCTCACTCTTCGCAGCTATAAGGATGGGTTGACGTGCTTCGAATGGGAGGTCGGCATTTTCCATCCGTCCGCGACATCGAAGTATGCCGTACTTGTCTCTTCGTATCTTTAATTGTTTCAGTGAGTTCAGTTGTAATTCTTGAAAGTGTACCATCTGGTGATTGCGGACTATCACTTGCAGCGAAGCTTTTCTTTCAATTGCTGTGACGTATTTTTCGTTTGTCAGTCGACGGAGTTCAGGGATGGTACTTGTGATGCGTGATTGCAGTTCTGAGGACGTTTTCGATATGAGGTTTTTGATGAAGCGTAGAACATATGCCATCACTATTTTGATAGAGGTTGTTGTATTGTGTCGTTTCCAATCGAGTATCTCCTTCATGTTGTTTTGCGATGATGATAATGTTGTTAAAATGTGGTTGCTCATTCCTTCGTTGTTGCTCGGTAGGACGAAAAGTTGGCAAGTTTCAGGCCATTCTGTCAGTGGTTTCTTTATAAAAGTTGGACCTTTCCACCATATATGGTTGATAAAGTTGTTTTTATCTACTCCACGTGTAGCGCAGTCTGCCGGATTGTCCGTGCTGTTGACGTATCCAAGTCGTACTGGTGCTGAGATTTCGGATACAATTCTCCTAACTTCTTCTACACGATTCTTTACTAGTACTCCCACTGTTCTTTCAATCGGATGAGAATTCAGCCAGCTTAGAGCAATTTCTGAATCTGAGAGAAGAATCACTTCTTCGATTCGTGTGCGATGATGTATAGCTGAGAAAATGCTGTGTGCTAGTCGGGTTGCTATTGTTAGAGCGTTCAGCTCTAGCTTTGGAACTGTCATTCTCTCTTTTATAGGAGATAGTTTCGCTTTTCCAGTAATCAGATTTGCTTCGTTGCTCGATACGATGTATGCGCATGTTGCCATTGCTTGTGTACTGGCGTCTGAGAACAAAACAAGTCTTGACCTAGTCCCGATTTGTGCAACCTTTCTTGGTATAGTGTAGAAGAAATCTTCAATTGATTCCGTGATGTTCTTCCATTGAGTCTGATGTTCTTTTGATAGCGCACTGTCCCACTGGTAGTTGAATTTCCACAACTGTTGTAGGAATCTTTTTCCAGCCAGCGTTAATGGCGTAAGCCATCCTAGAGGGTCATAAACGGCTGCAACTTGTTCTGAGACTGATCGCTTCGTGATGTTTTCTTTCTTCGGGTATCTGCATTTGAGGGTTATTTGGTCGTTCCTTGTGTTCCATGTGATTCCTAGCACTTTGACTTCGTCTGATGTGCACAGATCTATTGGTGCGATTTGATCTTTCAGAACACTGTTGTTTGACTGAAACTGTCGTAGATTCATATTGAGTTCATTGAAAATCCTTTTTGTGTCTTCATAAACTTTCAGAGCCTCACTAGTTGAAGAAGTTGTTAATATGAGGTTGTCGACATAGATATTGTCCTCTATGTCTTTTGCAAGGTGTGTGTCTTCCACCATTGTCCTCAAGTGATGGCTGATGGTGCCTGCAAGTAGGAATGGAGAGCAGTTGAGTCCAAAAGTCACCCGTGTAAAACGGTATGTGACTAAGTTCGCTTGGTTGAGTGGTTTTCGAATGTTTCGGATCCACATAAATCTTGTCGCATTTCGGTCTGATGGATGTAATCGGACTTGTAAGAAGGCTTTCTCTATGTCACTGATGATCGCTGTATCTCCGATTCTAAAGCGGAGCAGAATGTCACATATTTTGGGTAGTATAACTGGACCTTGGTTGAGGACATCGTTGAGTGATGGACAATTTTTCAGGTGTGCTGATGCATCAAAGACGATTCTTAGCTTTGTAGTTTCTTTTTGGGGAGTGATTACTGCATGATGAGCTAGATAGTGCACAATTTCCCCTTCGGATGTTTGTTCATCACTAACTTCTTCAATGATTACTCGCTCCAACTGGTCCATGATTGTGTTGTGATACTGATGGAGTATGGTTTCATTTTTGGCGAGGTGGATCAAATTTGCTTTCAACCGTCGGTAGGCGAGTTGTTTGTTGTCTGGTAAATGCTTGGAGTTGGGTTTCCATGGAAGACGTACATAGTATCCGTCAGCCTTTTTCTCGATACTTTCCTCAAATGCTTTCCAGATTGCGTCATTTGCAAGGTTTCGTTCTTGCGATGCGGGTCCGGTAAACTCTTGAGATCCTGTTCTCTCGAATTCAAAAAATTGTTCCCAGGATTGTTCTGTAGATGTCGTCGGGATAGAGTCCGCCTGGTTCTTCGTTTTGTGAATCATTTGATCATAGGCTTTTTCCTCATCTCTTTGTTGTGTTGTGCTTGGTGGTGGACGTGGAGTCGTTGGTTGGGGTGGGGTTGGAGATGTTGGTGGTGGTGGTGAAGACTGGAGAACGGGGTGTGGAGGTAGGGTTGGTGATAATGGAGGTGTGGGGGGTTGCAGTGGCAGCGGTGAAGGATGGAATGGATTTGGGATTATACTGGGAGGTGGTGATTCGGCGAGACCTTGTGATGTGCTGAAACTTGAACCTGTTGTTGGTGATTGTTCAGTTTTAGTTACATCGAGAAGATTACTCAATTGTGGTTTTTGTCTGATTGGCTGTGTATCTACTTGATGAATTGTTTGAACGAGTGGTTTTCCAACATCATCTTGTTGTAGTTTACTTCTCCCCGATATAAGGTACCCTAGTTTAGAAGGGATCACTTTCAATCCCGACGGGAGCGTATATTGCTTTTGTAATCCATTTCCAAGAATTGAGAAAAGATCAGCGCATCCAAGAAGAACTGTTGGCTGCACCTTTTTTATGGATGGATCAATGGATAGATGTATCTCGTTTTCATAGATAAATTTCTTGTCTTCCTTGCTGAGGCTAGAACGTGCCAAAGTTGGCGTGATTGTTCCAATACGTGTGACCGTGAATGTGTGTTGATTTCCATCCACGTCCCACAACTTCATGAGTGTGTTTCTACAGGTCCTTTTCATCGGTTTCTGTGATCCGAACGTATTGATTGTCAATTCCGTAGTATCGACGTTCGTTAGTTGGAGCCGATCTGCAAGCTCGTCACTGATGAATGAGCGATCTGCTCCTGTATCAAGCATGATATGAATCGATTCAAGTGCTCCCGTGGTAGGGTTGAGTACTTTCGCTTGTCCTGTCAGAAGCATAACATTGTCGTGGCTGCTGCAGTCGGGTACCGTTTCTTGCTTTGAATTTGTATCTTTGGCGAAACCCGCTGTATTTACGTTTGTCGATTTTATTAGCTCTGTAGATTTTTCTGTTTGTTTTCTCGGGTTTTGAAACGTATGAAGATTGTTCTGCGGAAAAAGAGTCTTGCAGATTGAAGTGTGGTGACCAGTAATTCCGCATGCTCTACAAGCTCCTTTGGTACACTTTGCTGCAGTGTGATCCTTTTGTCCGCAATTACGGCAGAGCTTTTGAGCCTTTATGATTTCAAGACGTTGGTCCAGTGATGATATCTCAGTGCAGTTCTTTGCTAGATGCCCTGTTTTTCCGCAATAAAAGCAGGGTGCTAGTTGATTTTTCGCGAAGTTTCTGCTGAGTGGAGACTTTCTTTCCTCCATCCCACTCGTATCTCGCTTCCTCTTGTTGTTGGAGCTATGACTTTTCACCTGTCTGATTATTCTCAGTTCGGCTTCGACAAATTCCTTTGCAGTTCGTAAAAGGGCCATAGTGCTCCAGGTTTCTTCTGTTTTCAGCTTTGGTTTCTGCCGAAGGATCTGTCGTTGGACGTCTATGGAGAATTTCCCAAGCAGCTCTCTTTGTAGAAACGTATTGTCGATGTGCTCCCCGTGAAGATCAAGTTGTGATGTAATGGAGAGGAGTTGCTCGCAAAGGGTTTCTTGGTCTTCTAGACTATCGCTGTTGGCTTTCGCTGATTGAAGTTTATTCAAGAGTCGATCTACTAGGGCTTGGGTGTCTCCCTACTTTTTCTTTAGATGAGCTACGACAAGAGGATATGTTTCGCTTGAAACTTGAAATTGCTCCACTGATTGCTTAGCTGCTCCTTGAAGAGCGTCCATGAGATAATTGAGTTTGTAAATGTTGTCGATGTTCTTCGAATGAATCGTGTGTTCGAACGCTTTCCAGAAAGTTTCCCATTCCCAAATCTCACCGCTGAACTTGGGAACGGGAACTGGTGCAAGTTTTACCTCTGAGATTTGGGGTGATCCCGAAACTGAAGGTACTTCAAGAGGTTTCGTTCCCTGCTGAAGTACTGTGAGAGTTGTGAGCGCTTTTTGCGCTTGATCAAGCAGTTCCTGTGCTGCTTCGATGTTGGTGTCAATCCTTTGCGAAATTTCCGACGAACTGAGTAATTCTGCGTCCAGACTGTCGGCAGCTTTGGCATATTTATCCAAGGAGCTTTCAAGGGTGCCTAATTCAGCTTCGATTGCTACAATTGCTCGTCTGATTCTTCTAGCGCGATCCTCCACTTCCTCATCTTCTCGTGTGCCTGATTGTGCAAGAAGATCTTCGTGACTACGAATGACCGAGGACAGGCGATGAATGGATCGAGTCAAGAGCCCTTGGCGAACTGACAAGGAAGACGTCATGAAAAGTTTCGACTTACGCTCTTGAGTCGTTGGAGGTCTTCTTCTAGCTTCTGCCTCCGTCGAATCTGCTACTCCGGCCGATGCACCAGATGTGGCGGGGGTTCGGCCGCTACTGTTGTGCCAGAAGACGAGGTAGAACAACTAACTTTATTCTTACTGCAGAGGGTTTTTATACGACCCTCAAAACAATAATAAGAAGATCACTATTATCACTTTCATCGGTGGTTCATTTTTCTTGCCTTTCATAACAACCTTCGGTTGACAATAGAGAATGATTCTCTATACCACGCTATTTTTCATTAAGTGTTATTAAAAGTAGAAGTAATAGAGGTTCAAATAAAAAGAATAAGAAGAGAAAAGTAAAAGACTACGTGCAAGTTCTAAATGAAATTACAGATAAAGAAGATGCATTAACTCCTATAGAATATTATAGACTTTTTAAAAAACTACGGGAATCAGTACTTAATAAAATTATTGAACTTTCCCGTGATCCTAACTTTTTACAAACGCTTAATCAAAAAACTAGATTTCTTATATTATGTCTATGAGCGCATTTTCATACTCAACTTCAGCTTTTACAAAATTTAACAAGAATTATCACAATATTACTGTTAAATTTTAAAACAAAGTTTTTGATGACATTTCTTTTGGAAAAATCCTTAACTCATGTACCGTAAGAAAAATTATATTTAACAATACTAATGACTGTAAGCATTATACTCCTCTTAGAATTGTCTATAAATACGACAATGCAGTATCCAGTAAAATCTATAAATATATCCTAATACTTAAAAACATCAACAATGACGTTTTGGAGAGCATAGTCAATACAAGATGTATATGTGATTCTGGTGAAGTTGATGAATTTGTTTATATGGATTATGGACATGTGATAACTGGCGATTTGAATATTATTAAAGAGAGTAGATTCAAAGCACTACTAGAAATAGGAGCTAAATACAGGTTGAGTAAAGGGATTACAAGATCCGTTTTTAAAAGCATTTATGAACACATTGTTAATGAATCAATTGGATATTTCAAAGATAAATATAAAATAGATGAAACTAAAGCAAGTTCAATCAAAGAATACTTTCAGACTAGTTTTCGTAATAAGATTAAACTTCTTTTAACGTATGACAACATCAAAAGAAGGGAGAGCTTATATATGATTTGATTAAAAAGTACCAAAAAAACTTCATATTCTGTCCACTTGACAAAGCCAGTAATAATTATGGTATAATATGTAAAAAAATTTATCTTCTTACTATAATGAAAGAAATGGGTGTCTTTTGTGACTGCAATGAACACTGCTTCAAACATAGTAATACTAATAACACATATGAGATAGTACCTAATATGAACAGGCTTACACTAATCCTTAAACATAGATTCTTCTGTGCTAGAAATGGAATTGATACCATAGTGGATGCAGATTGACCCATTATTTATGCATTACCTAAGTTACATAAAAACCCCGTTAAATTCAGACTTATCACAGGTGCTCACAATAGTAGTACTAAAACCTTGGCTATAGGACTGCATACAATATTTTCACACATTAAAAAGCATTTCGCTAATTACTGCAATGTAATACAAAATAGGAATAGAACTATCAAAGTATATTGGTCAATAAGTAATATCAATATTAGTCAAGAACTCAATAACCTTTGGTATAATGGAATAAAAGTATATACTGCTGATTTTACAGATATGTTTACTAACCTTGAACATAATTTCATTATTTGCAATGTTAGGGAAATTTCGAATATATGTTTCAAAAATGCAGGAAAACCGTATGTAGCTACTAATGGATACCACGTTTTTTATACGATGGGAATTATATCAAGAACAATTATAGATACTATCAAATCAAAGATTTGTTATACTATACAGACTACCTATTAAAAAACAGCTACTGTGTGTTCAGTGAACATATTTTCAAACAAACTAGAGGAGTTCCACAAGGAGGTAATTTCGGCCCACTCTTGGCTGACCTCACATTATCGTATGTGGAGTACAGTTATGCTAAAAATATTAAATTGGATAAACAAAATCTCTTTATACCGTATAGATATATGGACGACCTATTAATATTACATAATCAAAGTGAAATGAATATCGATGCACAGCTCACTCTAGTTTATCAAAATAAACTTGAGTTGAAAAAGACCCACAATTCAGATAGTCATAGAAATTACCTGGATCTATCTATCTACATTATTAATAACAGAATAGTCACTGAATTATATAATAAAACCGATGACTTCAGTTTTAAAGTTGATTCCCACATAGCTTTACTAAAATTTCTAATACCATTAAAGGAGCGGTTATCTATACGGAAATACTTAGAATTGCTAACACATGCACTATGTTTGACACTTTTGTAACCAAGGTCAAGGACATTATAAATGTCCTCATTGATAATGAATACAGTTACGGTTTTATCATTTCTAATATACTTAAATGTATTTATAAAGATAAATTTATTTGTTATAAATATGGGTTAGGTAACAATTTCAAAAAAATTAGTTACCTAGTAAATAAAATCTTTCACTAAGTGTATGAAGTTTTTCCTCTAACCGTTGTTAACTTTGTTATTACTAATTCTATTTTAATCAATTATAGTTAATTAATTACTAGTTATTCCTTCCTTATTTGTGCCTTATGCTTAATGTGCTATTTATTTTTCTCTAAGTAATAATCTGCTCCAGTAACAAGGCAGCTAATTGCTTCCCTGAGTATTAAATGCATGTATATAAGGTAGCCTATTTTTGCGAGACATAACCTCTCTTTACAACCGCTTTGTTTGTGTATCCTTTTAACTTGAACATGTTTACCCATTTATACACTGCGTTTCATAAATATAGGTCCACCCTAATTTTTTGCTATTCCAAAGTTGCTGTGCATTTTTGGAGAAATGCCGCTATTACAGTAGTTTCCCATAACGAAAACCTGATACTTGATTTCTGGAGAAATCTCGATTCAGAACTATCAAATATCTCCTTTAGAACGTATTTTTACGTTTCGCAAAATATGACTACACATCACTTGTCGAGATATTTACTATAAACGAAAAAAGGTCACGAATTTTCAATAATGGATGACCCCCTAATAATCATAAGAATACGTTTTGAAATGCTGGTAGCCAAATTAATTACAGTAGGATCGAAATTCGTCTGGGCGCCGATGATCGACTTTTTCAGCTTTTCGGCTGTCCCATTTCGCTTTACTTTGCTGTAGAACTTCATAACAATTAAGGCCTAATGATTCTCTATTGGGATCTAATTCAGATAACATGGTGGCCACCAGATAACTGCCACATTTTTTCCTGCAATTCCATCTGGCGCGGAGGGACCGGCATGGACAGCCGCGTTATCGTGTGTGAAAACCAAGGATAGAGGGGATCCTTGTTGAAAAAATGGTAAGTCTCGCTTTGAAAGAACTTCACGATACCATGTGGAATCTTTGTGAACGGAAACAAAAGCGAGCTCTAGCTACTTAGTCGTTCAAAGGTGCCTCAAACCATAAGGGATTCACCGCCAAAATTACGTTACGTTGAAACCATCTGCGACTTTCATGCGATCATCCTGTACCCTCTTTTTCTGCCATATCCACCTAGAATAAACTTTTCCACGTCGATCTGAGACCACCTGTAGAACGAAACAAGGAGGTAGAGACCAAGATCGCGAAGGGTCTTAATAGCCACACCATTGCTCATTAAGTTGAGCCCTTTCCACGGAGAAATGGAGACTTGCGATCTTGTAGCACTCAAATAATCTTGGAGCGCTCTTCATCAATCCGTTGAAGTGTCATTGCTCTGCTGGCTTCTCACCACACGGTGGTTTGCTCACGGAAGGCCGCATTTCAGTACGGACTTTGATTGGACTCCTTGCATAATTCGAGATAAGACACCCAATTCCTCCTAAAATTTGAAAGAAACGCAGTCTTTATTTACCTAAGCGACTCTTCTCTCTGCAATGACCAGGATTTTGCACATAGTCGCTTATGCAGTCTGAACCGGCCGACTTGGGAGGAAATTCTGCTCCTCAGCCATCCCACTTCAGTAAGTGCTCTAGCTTGAGCTTGTTACTGAGAAGAGAGGCGAATAACACGAGATATGGTAAAACCGATGTCGACTGAGCCCAAATATTTCGCCGCTTCCCTGATTCCCTTCACGGATCGTGAGAAATGGAAACTTTTTATGAGTTTCCCCTATATTCATAAAACGGTGGAAATTCGTTCTAAAAAAGTTAATTGGGCTCCTTGAGGGGGGAATTTGTCAGGAAAACTCTATAAAGGTTTTCCGTGATGAGGAATCTAACGGTGAGAGCAGCATTTCCAAAAAATGCACAGCAACTTTGGGGTAGCGAAAATTTTGAGTGGACCAATAATTATAGACGCAGTGTATTTTCTTAACTCTTTACACATCATAGACTCTTATAGGAACACATTGTTTCGTAAACCCTTACTCACTGATGAGCCTCGGGAGTTGACGGAATATGTGGTTCGTCTGAGTGTAGAGGCGAAACGAACCACACCTTAACTCTTTTTTTACAAGTTCCCACCTTACTGAACTTATTCTCATTCTCTATTATCACAAAAATTACTACAACCGTCGTGAATTCTGGGTGGAAAATGGTTTGATTGAAACCTCAACACGCAGGGTCAACTGCGCATTGCGCAGTTCAACAAGGAGAGGGGGTCGTATATTGAGTTTGTGGAGGAGAATGGGTCGTATTCATGATTGGTAAGGTCAAGAGGTGGAAAAAAGGGGGTCTTATTCTAAGAATTTGAAGGGGTTGTGGCGTTAGCCGAGGATGGTTGTGCTTGACGGGTCCTTAGACGATTTTTGAGAACCACGGAAAAGGCAAGAAGCACCAGCCAACAGAAACAACCATGATGGTGAGGGTGTCGTCGGGATGCGGAGGTGGGGGTTGCATAGAGTCCTTTCAAAAGAGAGCGGCTTCACCCTGCCTATACGCCATGCAAAATTGTGTTCGTCGAGCGCGACCTCTGGCTATAAACTGCCGCGCCGTATCAGCGTGTGGGTCGAGTGGTATGCAGGTCTAGGCCGAGTACTAGGAGGCCTTATGTACACACGCCTGGGTGTGCACCTTTAGTCTAAAGTGCAATTATGGGGAGACCACCTTACACCTACACTTACTCGCTTGTGGGAAGACCCTATTGATTACGCTAGATTGTCGGCTGACCTATTCCTCTCGTCAGGCTCAGTAGCGATCATTTGATTGGTGAACTTCATACATAAACACGTTTCAAAGCTGCGGAACAAAAACAAAATAACAAATGAAGCAAAAATAGAAACCACAAAAGCGCATTAGTAAACTTCAAAGGCAAAGAGATAGAAATATTTTTAGAGAGACATTTTAATCTCATATCTTTGTCGTAGATTGATTAAGTCCATTTTGTGTTCTTGGCCTGACGTAGAAAACTGCACATTTGCATTCATGACTTAATGAATTTTGGAGAAACTTGATACGCCTTTTGAAGTGGATAAAAAAATACAACAGCAATGATTTTCTACTGGCTAGAAATCAAATGGGATTCTTAAACTTTTATACTGACACATTCTTGACTCATGTTTCTGTTATATTTCGGTATTGACTTGATTTCACATTCTTCGCTGTCTTTTTTGATTCTGTCGGTGTATCACCACCCACAAGTATTTTTAGGTGGGTCATATCCTGCATTAGCTTTCAGTGGCAGTAATATAAACTCAATCTTAACACTGCTCTACAACAAACTATCGGCGATTGATTCTATTTTGAGGAACATATACAGTGAGATTTGCCACATTGTGCCGAGGCTTATGAGTATTAGGGTTTACTATAACCTATCTGAAGATTCACTTCAACATTCGGAATTGGTGATTCTGAGCTTATGACAAAAAGCATCCGGGCTAGCAGCAAAATTCCATGCTAATAATTTGCAAGCATCATGACGCTATTGGATGAATGATGAATCGGGATGAATGAGACTGGCTACCATTCGAATATGTGGATTCCTCACATGGGCGGCTGCTCGCAGTAGAGTCATATTTTGAAAGAAAAAATCTTGAGGAAACTCTTCTGCCGCTTGGATGGGAAAACTTTCCAAACCAGTGTAATCAACGGAGTCTTGTGATAACTACTCCATTATAGTGACGCAGCGCATCGTAGCAGAATGCCTCTGCGAGATCAGCAGTCAGCGCAGTCAATTAAGTGAGGTCACCCCGCAGGCGATTACTAGTAGGCATAAGGTAACAGGTGCGAGGTAGTGATCAAGAGGTCATTTTTGACCAAAGTCCCTCTCCCGTCCTTTACCACTCAGTTCTACCCAAAATCCGATTGTCTAATATATGATATCTCAACTTTCTTTTTCAGAGCGCTGAAAACATTTAGCGATTACTGCTACAAGGAGGAGACATTCTAAAGTTCGCTCTCGAGAATGGTGAGTTACCCTTTGAATGTAAGAGGGGGGATACCGAAACTTTGAGTTCATATCCAACGGTTGTTTTCACGGATATTGCTGCAACCTTGAAAAAATAGTTGTCGTACAGAATGAGTGGTGTTTTTATTCCTAGTATGAAAGGGTGTCAGTGGTGCAGCACCTAGAGACGTCGTATCGCCCTTGTACGACTCAAAAGATCGATTTTCAATTTATAAACTTTTAGTCAAGCGGCTACTCCGTTTCAATAAAAATGTTATCAACAGAACTCTACTAGGTCGTCACGTGTCACTGTCTACCCAGGCGGGTGGGGAGAGGGACTTTATTTAAAAATGACCTCTTAATCACTACCTCGCACCTGCCACCTTATGCCTCCTAGCGATCGCCTGCGGAGTGACCTCACTTGATTGGCTTTGCTGTCTGTTAAGCTCGTACAGACATATTAAGTTAAGAAACCATAGACATCAAAATTGTTCTCTCACAAAATGTAAGAGTTTATGTTAGGTTGTCACCCATTTTTCACGGTCAGGAATGTTTGTTGTAGAGAAGTGATACAGGTTAATACCAAAGAGAATTCCCACTCAGCACCTCTCCTATTTTTTTACCAATTGGTGATTCTGACCAAGGGTACGATTTTAATTTCGAATGTCAATTTACAGGTCCGCTGTTGCACACATTGAACAATACAAAATCTCCTGTCAGCCAAGTTGTGCTTTGCCAACCTGATGAATGGTAACTACAAAGCCGTATGTCCTCGATTGCCCGAGAGTTTCGTCGAGGCTTTTTCGGGTTTTGGCTCTGTTCCAAGTCGAGCCCCAGATAGTGATTCTACATATCCGTGCGGCAGCCCTTTTTCCTCTTTTTTTTTGAATATTCCCCTTTCAAGAGCGACTTGAGGAACTTCTAATTCGCTTCAGCCAAAGCATCGCAATGCTTGAAAAAAAATTACTATCATGGAATTTTGCGGCTGGCCGGGATGTTTTTACCAAGACATTAGAATCACCTGTTGAACTGACAAGAACTAGGAGCCCCAGCTAAAATGTTGGAGAGTGGCGATGCCCTCACGGACTCAAAAATGAGAGCGAAAAAGGTGAAGTCAAGTTAATACCATACGTAACTGAAACACAAGCCAGGAATATGTCAGTGAAAAGTGTTTGAGTATTGGATTTGAACCTAAAGTTCATTATTCACATGGTCGCTACTGAGCCAACAAAAAAATCATTGCTGTTGGCTTTTTTGAATTCAGGTCATGTTCTGTTCCACCAAAATATATATAGTCATAAATGAAAATGTGCAGTTTTCTACGTACACTAAGAACACGAAATGAATTTAGTCAAACTAGCAAAGACAAAAATATCTGAATTTAAAATGCTTCCCTAAAATTCTTCTATGTCTTGCTTCTTAACAAATTAACTAAATTTACTTTCTCTCAGTCTTGTGCTCTGCCGGAGCCTCATGAGGACCTAAATTTGGCCTTGATGAGGCTCTGGGACAGCACAATACTGAGAGAACTTTTGAAGCTTTTCTGCTTTAAACAAATTTAAATAAATTTATTTTTTTGATATTTACTGGCGTGTTTTTGTATTCCTGTTTTGTTCTTTACTGTTTTTCAATCCCTCTTTTTAACACGTGTTTATGTGATAAAGTTCATTATTCACAGGTCGATACTGAGTCTGAGGCCGTATGCTATGCTTTCGGGTAAGGGCGCGCGTCCCCTAAGTCGCATGCTATCCTTCCCCGAAGCTCATTCGGGAAAGGCCACGCCCACCGAGCTTCGGGACGCGTCCCTTACCATTATTGTTGGGAAGCATCCCCGAAGGCAGAGTAAGTCGCTGTGGCGCGCACTATTCTGGCTGGAGCACCTCATTTCCAGAGTTACGGTAGACTCTAATGCCAAATTTTTCTTTGTTTCGTTAGCGTGCTCCAGTCGTCTTTAGATTCATCGAATTCTACATATTATGTTGAAATATTTATTGTACTTAAGTACTATTGCACGTAATTTTTCAGTTCCGAGAGATGCAATACATATCCTCACAGGGCCTAGTCCTAACCCGCTTTTAGGGGTTTTTTTTGTTCATCATCTTCTGTACACGTACATACGTATTTAATGATTTTCATCGTTTCTTTGCGGTAACATTGCAAAGCTTTATCTCCCTAATCACTTCGCATCCCGCTGTCCGCGCGTATCAACCGCATATCAGCCGCAAACAGGGTCAACACGCCGTGCGTGTGCGTCAGAAGAACAACGAGGGCGTAAAAATTCCAGGTCCGACCGAAGAGGGAGGGGGTCTTATCCACAGACGGGCAAGACGGCTTGAGAAGTGCAGTGTCCGGGAGTGCACTTTCAGCCTATCTCCAGGAGCTCTGCACGCTATCGGAGAGTCATACAGACATGAGCATGGACATACAGCTCCATGGGAGCATTAAAGCATGCAGAGCACTATAAGTTTTAGGGATAAAATTCTTCTATGTCTTGATTCTTAACAAATTAACTAAATTTACTTTCTCTCAGTCTTGTGCTCTGCCGGAGCCTCGAGGACCTAAATTTGGCCTTGATGAGGCTCTGGGACAGCACAATACTGAGAGAACTTTTGAAGCTTCTCTGTTTTAAACAAATTTAAATAAATTTATTTTATTTAATTTTTGATATTTACTGGCGTGTTTTTGTATTTCCTGTTTTTTTTTCTTTACTGTTTTTCAATCCCCCTTTTGAACACGTGTCTAGTGTCTATGTGATAAAGTTCATTATTCACATGGTCGAGAGGGCCGTATGCTATGCTTTCGGGTAAGGGGGCGCGTCCCCTAAGTCGTATGCTATCCTTCCCCGAAGCTCCGGGGAAAGGCCACGCCCACCGAGCTTCGGGGACGCTTCCCCTTACCATTCGTTGGGGGAAGCATCTCCGAAGGCAAGAGTAGTCGCCGTGGCGCGCACTATTCTGGCTGGAGCACCTCATTTTCTCATGGGGAATTACATATTATCCTGGCTGCGCTTCTTTTGAGAGTGAGGGGGTTATGTTTCAGAACATCGGTGACGTCGCTGGTGTCTGCACAAGCCGCGATATCGTGGGTCTTATTAGCTGTGATTACGGCCGCTAAGAGCGGGTTCACCGCCACGAATAGAGGGAAAACTCTGTAAAAAGCAGTTACCATGTCCCATTCTATACAAACTGGAATTCTGCACAAAAAAATAGTAAATGCATCTTCTGCAATAAACAAATTCACTACGCATCATGTTTACGTAGTATAGAAGTTGCATTTCGCCTTTTTCACTGATTTAGCATGAGGGTACTGTGCTGTTGGATCTGCTATCTATAATCTAATATCTGCTGCCATGAGATTGTATCTACTCCTCAGAGACTTGGACTCTGCGCAGGCAGGACGAGCATGCGGTCAGCGTTATCCAGCGCGCTGTCGAAAGGACGATGCTATGAGTAACCCTATACAAGCAAGTGCAGAGGGGAATCCGAAGTTCGGAACTACGCCAACGATCGAAGAGCAGAAACGCTGCCGTTTTCACCAAATCGAATGGAATCGAAGATAAGGTGGGCCGGACACGTCATGCGATTTTGCGATGACCGTTGGACCAGAGCGGTTACCGACTGCATCCCTCGGGACGTCAAACGAACACCTGGACGACCGCCGGCCCGATGGTCAGACTCTTCACGAAAGCTCTGAACGAAAGGAATGAACGGCTTTGTGTCCCTCGAGTGAGCGGGATCCACTGGACAACTCTTGCACGCGACAGGGAATGGAGACGTTGCTGGCGCCCGCTCGAGCAATTCGATGATCAACGGGACGACAGGTGATACACATGATGAGATTGTATATAATAGAATATTGAATATTAAACTCGCATCATATATGTAATTAAGCAACAGTTATCATGCTTCTCTCCTAATCCGTACGTTCATGGGCGCATCATCAGAAATCAGGGTCACCAGAGCGCGCGGTAAGGAAATTGGTCCATAGAGTTGGAGTTAATCAAATAGGAAAAAAACAGGCTCCTCGTATTATCAAACAATAGAATAACGATATAATCAAGCATTGAAATGGATTAAAAGAAGAAATAACCTTCTAGAAAAAAAATGATCAATCATATTGCGAGTAGAGCATAGTATAAAGAAGGGTCGGCGCAGTGCGCCTAAATTATTCGGAACCATCACAAAATTCTCATTTCCGTTCTCACTTATTTCCCTGCTTGCGAAGTAACCTTTTGTACCCACCCTCGAGCTCCCCCCTCTGTAAAGGTGTGATTACTCCGACCGGGAAAAACGGTTGTGCCACGATACCTCTGCACAGTATTCGTATTCATAAATAACATAGATTTCTCCTCACACAGGATCCTTTATTGCGCCTCGATCGAATATTAAAACTAAGCACAGCTCACACTTATTCACTTGTTCTTGTTAAACGCAATTGCATGCGTAGCTTCAAGGAAATCTTGCCGTCGGAAAAATCTGATTCTATTTCAGCCATAAATCACTGGCTTGAGACTCATTATCCACGATAATAGTGAAAAGAACTGAAGTATTGCTTTCGTTTTGATTAGAAATTCGAAAACTCGAAAAGGCTGCTACGGCGTTCGAATGCCACGGACGTCTTTCACGAAT